CTTCATAGGTGAATTTCATCAAACATTCAGAGATGAGCAAATGCCTATTCTCCTAAGACTCTCTCAAAAAAATTACAGAGGAAGGAACACTTCCAAACTCATTCTACAAGGCTACCACCACCCTGATATCAAAACCAGACAAAGGCAAGATCAAATAAGAAAACTACAGGCCAATATCACTGAAGAACATAGATGCAAAAAATCCTCAGCAAGATTTTAGCACACAGAATTCAACAACACATCAAAAACCATGATCAAGTTGGCTTTATTCCAGGGATGCAAGGATTCTTCAATATTCACAAATCAATCAATGTGACACACCATATTAACCAAAGGAAAGCTAAAAATCATATGATAACCTAAATAGACGCAGAAAAAGCCATTAAATTTAAAAATTTTCTATTATTAAATTAAAAATAAAAATGTTTAAAAAGAAATAAACTTAAAAAAGGAATAAAAGTTGAAATAACTCAACTGTCCATCAACTGGTGATCGAATAAATAAAACATGCAATGCAAAATTATTCGGCCATCAAATGAATGGAGTTCTTACATAAGCTATAACATGCTAGAGCTCTGAAATGATTATGTTAATTAAAAGAAGACAGGAACAAAAGGCTGTGTATTGCATTATTCTCTTCGTGTGAATGCGTATGTCTCAGATAAGGTAATTCCCTAAAGATCGAAAATAGAGGAGTGAATGCAAGGGCCGAGATGAAGAGGGAAATGGAAAATGACTGCCAACTGGAGAGTGCCTCCCAGTGGAGTGATGAAAATATTCTAGAATGAGGCTGTGGTTATGGTTATTCAACCTATGAATAAGTTACAAATCAATGAATTATACAGCTTAACTAGTAAATTCATGGTACAGGTACAATGTCAATGAATCAAACGTTTTTTGTTTTTGTTTTTTTAACTACTGAAATTAAGTTCTATGTCCAGGAATATTGTCCTTCAAAAACAAAGGAGAAGGAGATATTCTCATATGAACAAAAAATTGGGGAATTCATTCTCAGCAGATACACTGTAAGAAGTCTTAAAAGAAGTTATTTACACAGAATAAGATGATATTGAAGAGAAACTATGAGTTAAGAAACTGTTATCTTGAAGTTTGACAGAAAACAACAAAATTCTGGAAAGTAATTATCCTTCAATGAAAAATTGAAAAAATTTACAGGAGAACATAGGCAAAACACTCTCCGACATAAATCACAGCAGGATCCTCTATGACCCACATCCCAGAATTTTAGAAATAAAAGCAAAAATAAACAAATGGGACCTAATGAAACTTAAAAGCTTTTGCACAACAAAGGAAACTGTAAGCAAGGTGAAAAGACAGCCCTCAGATTGGGAGAAAATAATAGCAAACGAAGCAACAGACAAAGGATTAATCTCAAAAATATACAAGCAACTCCTCCAGCTCAACTCCAGAAAAATAAATGACCCAATCAAAAAATGGGCCAAAGAACTGAACAGACATTTCTCCAAGGAAAACATACAGATGGCTAACAAACACATAAAAAGATGCTCCACATCACTCATTATGAGAGAAATGCAAATCAAAACCACAATGAGGTACCATTACACACCAGTCAGGATGGCTGCTATCCAAAAGTCTACAAGCAATAAATGCTCGAGAGGGTGTGGAGAAAAGGGAACCCTCTTACACTGTTGGTGGGAATGCAAATTAGTACAGCCACTATGGAAAACAGTGTGGAGATTTCTTAAAAAGCTGGAAATAGAACTGCCATATGACCCAGCAATCACACTTCTGGGCATACACACTGAGGAAACCAGATCTGAAAGAGACACGTGCACCCCAGTGTTCATCGCAGCACTGTTTATAATAGGCAGGACATGGAAGCAACCTAGATGCCCATCAGCAGACGAATGGATGAGGAAGCTGTGGTACATATACACCATGGAATATTACTCAGCCGTTAAAAAGAATTCATTTGAATCAGTTCTAATGAAATGGATGAAACTGGAGCCCATTATACAGAGCGAAGTAAGCCAGAAAGATAAAGACCATTACAGTATACTAACACATATATATGGAATTTAGAAAGATGGTAACGAAAACCCTATATGCAAAACAGAAAAAGAGACTCCTATGTATAGAACAGACTTGTGGACTCTGGGAGAAGGCGAGGGTGGGATGTTTCAAGAGAACAGCATCGAAACATGTATATTATCTAGGGTGAAACAGATCACCAGCCCAGGTTGGGTGCATGAGACAAGTGCTCGAGCCTGGTGCATTGGGAAGACCCAGAGGGATCGGATGGAGAGGGAGGTGGGAGGGGGGACCGGGATGGGGAATACATGTAAATCCATGGCTAATTCATTTCAATGTATGACAAAAACCACAGCAATGATGTAAAGTAATTAGCCTCCAACTAATAAAAATAAATGAAAAAAAAAAGAAAAATTAATTGAAAAAATAAACAAAGGCAAATTGAAATGAAGGTTATTTTTCTTATTATTAATTGGTTAAAGATAAATTCTTCTTTGGACTTCTCCATCTTTGTTTTCCACTGATTTTGAATCTTCATAATTAAAGTGAGTTTCATGTATAGAAGATTGAGTTTCACTCAGTGGTAAAGAATCCGCCTGCAATGCAGGAGCTGTGGCAGATGCGAATTCCATCTCTGGGTCAGGAAGATCCCCTGCAGGAGAGCATGGCAACCCACTCCAGCATTCTTGCCTGGAGAATCCCTGTGAACAGAAGAGACTGGTGGGCTCACAGTCCATGGGGTGGCAAAGAGTTGGACATGACTGTGCAAGTAAACAACAGCAGACACATATTCCTAACAAACTCTGAAGATACTAAAAATAGATGAGAAACTCCTCAGCCTAAAGAAAGCAAAACAAACAAACAAACAAAAAACCTAGATTGCAGAGCTGAATTATAAAAGGTTTTAGGCAATAAAATGTCTCCCAACACTAGTGTAAACAGTGTGTTCCACACAAGGGAGAGGAGTCATTTTTAATACTCACTCAATAGAAAAACATTCTAGTTACATTCATAAATTAAAGGAAATGAAAATGTCCAGAAAACATAGTATAAAATCTACTGATCATTTTATATCTAATTAAGACTGTAAAACTGTAAGGGGATTTTTAAGAAAAAACGTCTGCGAAAATTTAAACAGCCCCCAATGAAAAGAATTGGACACGACTGAGTGACTGAACTGAACTGAAGGAGTCCCAATGAATGTAATTTTATTTTCTTTTTTCCATAGGCTTAAAATAATTGACAATTAAGAATGAATTTCACTTTAACACATATTTTTCAATTTCAACAGGATGTTTTATATTCAAATATAAGATTTTTCAAGCTAAAAAGGTTTGTACCTTGCAGTGACTATTTTGTTTCACTGACTTAGACATACATAAAATCACATTGTGTGTCTTTACCTTGACCATCTTTGTGGTGTCACTGTGCATTTAGAATCAACTGTTTGAATGTGGGGTCTGTGAAGTTCTCGGGTCACATACTGTCGAAGCCTAGCTTGAAGGATTTTGAGCATTACCTTGCTAGCATGTGAAACGAGTGCAGCCGTGTGGTAGTTTGAACATTGTTTGGCATTGCCCTTCTTTGGGATTGAAATGAAAACTGACCTTTCTCAGTCCTGAGGCCACTGCCAAGTTTTCCAAACTGGCTGGCCTATTGAGTGCACCACTTTAACAGCACCATCTTTTAGGATTTGAAAGCTCTCAGCTGGAATTTCATCACCTCCACTAGCTTTGTTCCTACTGCTGCTTCCTAAGGCCCACTTGACTTTGCACTCCAGGATGTCTGGCTCTAGGTGAGTCATCACACCATTGTGGTTATCCAGGATAATAAGATCTTTTTTTTACAGTTCTTCTGTGTATTCTTGCTACCTCTTCTTAATCTCTTCTGTTTTAGTTAGGCCCATAACGTTTCTGTCCTTTATTGTGCCTGTCTTTGCATGAAATGTTCCCTTGGCATGTCTAATTTTCTTGAAGAGATCTCTAGTCTTTCCCATTCTCCTGTGTCCCTGTGGTTCTTTGCTTTATTCAAATCCCTTGTGAGTAAACATTGGAAGGGATAAATAGACTCAAGGGTTAGGCCTGGCACACAGGGCACCAGAAGACCTATGGATGGAGGTTCCCAACATTGTACAGGAGGTGGTGATCAAAAGCATCCACAAGAAAAGGAACTGCAAACCGGCAAAGTGGTTGTCTGAGGAGGCCTTACAAATAGATAAGAAGAGAAGAGAAAGGTAAAGCAGACACGGAAACATATAGCCACTGCCATAGTGCCTCCCCCGCCTCCCGAGCTGGGGGTCACCTTCTGCTGCTCTCAGTGCCAGGGGGAGGGGACAACCTAGCCTCTCCTACGGGGAAGCCACAGAGCAGGTGTGTCTCCCTGAGGATGTGATTGTATAAATCACGCACTCGCCTTTAATCATCACCTCACACCCTGCATTAGCCAAGAGACACACGGAAGACCGAGGAGACCATGAACCCTGCCACCTGGCCCCACCTCTGCAGTCACCCACATTCAGTGGACGGGCGGACGGATGACCAGCCCCGCAGGACAGGGCTGAGAATAGCCTCCGCAATGCCCAGCTTCTAAATGCACGGTCCGTCAGACCCAAGGCAGCTACCGGTTTAGGCTGGTGACGGCACAGGACGTGACTGAGACGCAGCCCCCGTGACACCCAGCTCCACCCACGCGCCATCCGCCAGCCTCGAGGCAGCTTCTGGTTCAGCCCAGTGACGTCACAGGATGCGAACGAGGAGCCTCCTCCGCAATGCCCAGCCCCTCAGTGCGCTGTCCTTCAGCCCCGAGGCGGCTTCCGGTTCAGGCTGGTCTCATCACAGGACGTGACTGAGACGCAGCCTCCACAATGCCCAGTTCCACCTACACGCCGTCCATCAGCCTCGAAGCAGCTTCCGGTTCAGCCCAGTGACGTCACAGGATGCGAACGAGTTGCGGCCTCCGCAATGCCCAGCCCCTCAGTGCGCCGTCCGTCATCCCTGGGGCGGCTTCCGGTTCAGGCTTGTCACATCACAGGACGTGCCTGAGACGCAGCCTCTGCGCTGCCGAGCTCCACATACGCGCCGTCGGTCCGCTTCAACCTGATGACATCGCCAACAAACCCGACAGCCCAGATGAAGTCGCCTGCGATGGTGTTGGTATAGCTGGCAGCTGACCCCGGGCACTGGCCCCGCACCCATACACAAACGTAGTGGAGCCAGGGACCAGGCCGGGTGGATGAGGACAAAGTGCAGGTTCTCCGTGAGGTTGATGCCGGCCATGAACAGCCTGCCTGGGACAAGAGAGGGGCTGCAGTTCATGGTGCCAGCTGTGGGGTCAGCCGCCTACATGTGCAGTCACTAACCCATGGAGTCATGTGACAAACCAGACCATGTGGTCACTGACTCACATGGTCGGTCACCCACCCATGGGGTCACTGCCTGATGTGGTGATCCCTCCACGTGGCCACCAACGCACGTGGTCACCCACCCATGGGGTCACTAACCTGCAGGTCATGCGGTCACCTGTCCACATGATTACCCCCCCACGCCATCACCCACCCACGCGGTCACCCACTCACCGGGTCCGCAACTCTCATGGTAACCCACCCTGCAGTCAGCAACTCAAACGGGTCACCCACCCACACGCTCACCCTACCCACACATCTCCTGCCCATGTGACCCTTAACCCATGGGGTCACCTGCCCACGCAGTCACCAAGCTGTGCCATCACCCACCCAGACTCTGGCCTCCACAGTGGTCAGAGATTCAGATGTCCGACAGAGACCAAAGTTCAGACAGCAGGGACTCACAGGGGTGTTGACTGATGAATTTCTCCTGTTACAGAGGGCAGGCAGGCTGGACAGTGACCCCAGAGACGTCCACGTCCTGACCCCATGTGGTGGACATGATAATGTCCGCATGGATATTCCCATCCTGTCTACATCCTGACCCCCTGTGGTGGACACAGTATCACCCCCAAGGATGTCCACACCCTGGTCCCCATGTGGGGAACAGAATAACATCCCCTAATATGTCCTGTTCCATTTCTCCACTTGAACCCAAAGCCAGCCCCATGCGCTAGGACTTGCGTGTGACCAGGTGTTCGGTATCAAGGTGGCACTCACCTGGCTGGCTGCAGCTCTTCATGTGCTCCAGGTAGTGGATGAGGTCTAGGTGCTTCACCTGGTTCCCCCACCAGTAGGGGATACAGGGCCACAGTTCTGCATGCTGACTCATGGATGCCTCGTCCTTGTACAACAGGACGACCTGCTGGCCCCGGGACCACAGCTGGCACAGATTCGGCACCTCCTGTGGGGAGAATCATCCAGGTGCCCATGAGACGTGTGCAAAGGGGTTATTGGGGTACCTTGTGACATGATGTGTCAGGTATTGGGGGTGTCCCAGAAGCTACAGCAGTGTGTGGATTATTGGGGTGTCTATGAGCAATGATGGAATGGTTATTGGATTCTCTATGAGAAGAGACAGTCATGGGTGGAATAATGGCATGGCTGAGTAGAGACACTAGTGGGTAGATTACTGGGGTGTCTGAGTAGAGAAGGTGATGAGTGGGTTATTGGGGTGTATTGAGCAGTGATTGGTAGATTTTTGGGGTGTTTGGAGACAGTGGTGAGTAGATTACTTGGGTGTCTTGAGCAGTGATGGGTCAATTATTGGGGTGAGTGAGTGGAAACAGGTGGGTAGATTATTGTGCTTTCTGATAGGAAACGATGGGTGGATTACTGGGGCATCTTGAGGCATGATTGATGGAGTTCAGGATTGTCTGAATAGAGACCAGGCAGGGTGGATTATTGGGGGTGCCTGTGACCAGTGATGGGCTGGTTACTGGGGTGTTTTGGTGGAGACAGTGGTGGGTGGATTACTGGGGTTCCGTGAGCGGCGTCACCTGGTATCTGAATCAGCCTCATGCAGCAAACGGATAGTCTGATTACAGTGAAGCCTAGTGCTCCCGCTGCCAAGAGCATGGGGAGCCTGTGGCCCCTGCGCACCCCACGGGGACACAGCATGTCTCCAAAGGTGTTCTTGATGCAGCCCATCAGGTTCTTGTGCAGGTAGGTCCTCCATCATGCCCTCGGAGTTCCTGCATGCCAGGATAACCCCCTCCTGGGGGTGATTCTCCAGCCACTCCGAGATCTCCGTGAGGGCGTTCTGGGCAGGGGTGGAGGAGAAGGGCCTTGTAGTGAGAGACAGAGGGGCGTGGGTGGGGACTTCCCCCAGCACAGCCCCTCTACAGACAGGTTGGGGGGTCCTGACACACAAAGACAGAAAGCATGGCGCCTGCTCCCAAGGGACCCAGCCTCTCCTGAGTGGCAGTGGGGAGCCGTGACTTTGCTCTGGTGTTTGTTTCTGTGTGTGTATGAACATGCTCCTGTAGGTCCAGGTGCACACACATGTGTGCATGTGTTCAGGGTCTGTGTGTGCACGGATATGTATGTGTGTGTGTGTGTGTGTGTGTGTGTGTGTGCGCACAGCAGCAGAGAGCAGTGCTTATAATATTGTGTGACGTCTGTACTCCAGGGAGCGTGGGCGGCCAGCAGGATACATTCACAGTGAGGCCCAGGCCGGAATCTCCAAGGGTCATTAGGTTCTGTGGTGGGGGCACCGGGGACCGAGGCCAGAGTGAAACATTAAGTGACTTGTCCAGCAGCCGAGAGAATGAACTGGACACGCCAAAACTAGACAGACACAGGAAGAGATGGGTCAGGAACCTGGTTTAGCCAAATTCTGGGAGACACCCCACAGGCCAGGGGTAGAGGTGTGAGTTCAGAAATGCACGTTGGTCGGGAATTCTGAGTGACTGATGCCACAGGTCAGCCCTCTCCTGCCAGGAGTGGACGTGTGTCCGTCCCCTTAGAGATCAGTGTCTTCTAACGGGAGTGGACCTCTGTTGTCCCCTTAAAGGTCAGCCTCTCCTGCCTGGAGTGACCGTGTGTCCATCATAGTGGACGAGTGTCCGTCTGAGTGGATGTGTGTCTGTCTGGGTGGATGTGTGTCCATTCCCTTAGAGGTCAGCGTCTTCTAACTGGAGTGGACCTGTGGTTTCCCCTTAGAGGTCTGCCTCTCCTGCCTGGAGTGGCCATATGTCCATCTGAGTGGACGTGAGCTCATCCCCTCAGAGGCCCTCCCCGTCCTGCCTGGACCAGACGTGGGGGTCCCTGGCTGGCTGACCCCCCTCCATACCCCCTGCCCCCGCCCCCACCTCCACGAGGGCCGTCGTGTACACCATGTGGCCAGAGTGCAGGTTCCCCTCGGTGCCCTCCTCTGTGTGCACCATCCGCAGGTCCTCACGCCAGCATCCAGCTGCTTTGTGATGCTCAGCACCTGCACACAGAGGTCAGTCACCTGTGCTGGGCACAGAGGGCGGCCCCCCGCTCAGGGGCTAGGCATGCACTGAGGATGCCCAATGAGGGCCACATCGTCCACTGTGAAATCAACAGTGCTGGTGCTGCCGGGGTTGAAGCCCTGCTTCTGGGAACAGGGTTTCCAGGGTCACTGGTCACATGGAGCACAGAGCCTGAGTCCAGATTGTGGTCTTGTGGGGGTGTTCCTGCAGAGTCCAGCCTCACCCTCCTCTCAGGCAGTCCCTGGATGGACGCTCCCTGTGGGTTCAACAGCCCAGGCTCCAAATACCCAAGCTGGACCCTTGGACATGAGAACACACAAGACCCACAAAGGTCTGTGCCCACCCCCAGAAACAGTACTAGGAAAGGCAAGAAGGAATCAAGTGGGGAGAACGAAAGGAAGAAACATCTGTCCACCACACAAATAAGACAGGAAAAAGCAAAAAATAACTTAAACCTAAATTGAAAAGTGAAAGTTGCTCAGTTGTTTGCAACTCTTTTTGATCTGATGGACTGTAGCCCACCAGACCCCTCTGTCCATGGAATTATCCAGGCAAGATTACTGGAGTGGGTTGCCATTCCCTTCTCCAGGAGATCTTCCCAACTCAGGAATCGAACCCATGTCACCCTCATTGCAAGCAGATTCTTTACCAACTGAGCCACCAGGGAAGCCCTAATATAAATTCGTAGCAGAAAATGTACTGTGTCGTCTATAAGGAGTCATAATGGAAAAACAAGAAAACATAAGGATAAAAAAATGGGAAAGAAAATAATAGATTCTCTCCATCCAAAATAAAAGAAAAAGCAAAAAAGTAATATTAACATAAACTAATAGCAGAAAACAGTACTGTGTTCTCTGTAGTGAGTCATGGCGGAAAAAGAAAAAAAAAAATATAAGGATAAAAAATGGGAAATGGGAAAGGAAGTCACAGCGCCCCCCCCCCATCCAAATTAAAAGAAAAAGCAAAGACTTATATGAATATTGTCAGCTACACAGAGGCACTTGACATCCACCTCTACAAGGATTAAATTAAATGCTGCTGCAGCAAATGACCTTCAACACCCCTTGAAAGACCACCACCCATGTCCCCCACCCCGCACACAACCCAGTTCTCCTTGAAAGCCATACCTCTTGAGACCCCGGCACTGAGGCCCCCCAGGATGGAGGGACCCTGCCTTGGAGGGACATAGAACAGAGGGACCCTGGCACCAAGGGACCCTCAGAGCAGAGGGGCCCCAGTCCTGCAGGACTCCCGGGTTCTGGTGGACCCCCTACTGCTTGCTCCCTCCTCTGGGTGTGAGCTCTTAAATTAAATGCTGCTGCAGCAAATGACCTTCAACACCCCTTGAAAGACCACCACCCATGTACCCCACCCCGCACACAACCCAGTTCTCCTTGAAAGCCATACCTCTTGAGACCCCGGCACTGAGGCCCCCCAGGATGGAGGGACCCTGCCCTGGAGGGACATAGAACAGAGGGACCCTGGCACCAAGGGACCCTCAGAGCAGAGGGGCCCCAGTCCTGCAGGACTCCCGGGTTCTGGTGAACCCCCTACTGCTCGCTCCCTCCTCTGGGTGTGAGCTCTTAAGGCCAGGCTGCAGGCACCTGATGCAAGCAGGAATGAGGTTTGCCCACATTCCAGCCCTGGCTCTCTGCCCATCAGATGCCCTGAGGAGGATTCCACCAACCGGGGATCTCCCAGGAGGGAGCAGTTACACAAGGCAAGAGCTGTGCTTGACAGCCATCTGTCCCCTCCAGGTGGGCCCCTGCTCCTGAGTGCACCTGGGCCCAGGTGGGTTCTCTACCCAGCCCAGCATCCAATCCTTGGCTAACGTGTGCCAGTGACAGGACCACTGTCAGTTGGGTGCCCCCTCCCCACAGACAGGGCCCCTAGCATTGACTCCTCTACATTCTCCACAATGACTGCTTCCCACCCGGCTTCTCTCCACCCCATAAAATCCCCAATCCACCCAGGAGAAGCACTACAGGGGAGGGGTGGGAGTGTGTGCATGTGTTCTCAGTCGCTTCCGTCGTCTCGACTCTCTGTGACCCCATAGACTGTAGCCTGCCAGGCTCCTCTGTCCATGGGATTTCCCAGGTGAGAATACTACAATGGGGTGCCATTTTCTCTCCATGGATCTTCCCGTCCCAGGGATCAAACCTGGGTCCCCTGCATTGCAGGCTGATTCTTTACTGTCTTAGCCACCAAGAAAGTCTCCCTGGAGGAGGTGCCGGGGTGCAAACACAAACCCGTTTCAGAAGACATGGGAACTCAACTATTGCTTATCTGGGACCAGGAAGGAGCTCTGGTGTCAGCTCAGCTGCACAAAGGGCGTGACCCAGCTCCCCCAGCTTCTGTGACTTCAGACTGTGATGCTGTTAGTCCATGGGTCCCACTTCTGGCTTCGGGCTGGTTCCACAGTAAAGCCGTGTCCTTTCCTACCTTTCTGGGAGGCTCTCTGTGTGGGGAAGATCTCCTGGAGGAGGGCATGGCAACCCACTCCAGTATTCTTGCCTGGAGAATCCCATGGGCAGAGGAGCCTGGTAGGTACAGTCCATGTTGTTGCAACGAGTCAGAGAGGACTGAGCACAGAGAGACACTCTCTAGTTACAAGTACTTTGATGTTATTCTTAGTATTTTCAGGCTCTTTATGATGCCAGTGTTGTGGGTCACGTGCAGTTTCATTTATTCTTTTTCCTTTTAAATATGTGTGATCTGTTTCAGAGACAGTGTGGAGAGGTTCACACTTTAGCTGTCACCCGGGGACAATCCAGAAATCCTTCCTTCTGTCTCTGAACATAGGTTTGGAATAGCTTTATTTCTTTCTCTCTCTCTCTTTTTTTCTTATTTATTCTCAGGGTCAAGGGATGGGAAGGAAGATTTACAAGTTCATAATATAATTTGATTTGATGATGTTATGGAAAAGTGGATGCATGGGTGAATAGATGGTGGGCAGGTTGATGGATGGATAGAGGGAGGGTTGGGCAATGTTTGGGTCAGTGGGGTTGGATCGGTGGATGGATGGATGATGGACTGATTGGTGGATGGATGGATGATGGATGGATAGATTTATGGATGGATGGGTGGGTGGATGGGTGAGTGGTTAGATGGATGGATGAGTGGATGGATAGGTGAGTGGGTGGGTGGGTGGATGGATGGATGGTTGGGTCAGCAGCATGTAGTCGATGCACACAGTGGTGTATGACTCACCATGAAAACGAGTGAAGTTCTGACACACCTTACATCGTGGATGAACCTTGAACACACGATGATCAGTGAGAGAAGCAGACACAGAAGGACACATGTTATGTGTCCATTTACAAGAGATGTCCAGAACAGGCCAATTTACAAAGACGGAAGCAGATGAGTGGTGCCCGGGCTTGGGCGAGAGGCATCACAAGTTATTATTATGTAAGGGGTACAGGAAGGAGAGCGGCCAAGGGCCCCTCTGGATGGAGGAGGCCTGAAGACTCGGAAGCCTCCTCCTTGTGGGGCCCCCACAGCCTTCCCCACGGGCAAGCACCTGGAAGGGCTGAGAGACTGGGTCCATGGATCCCTGTCTGCTCCACACCGTCAAGGGCAGGGCCGTGTGGGGGGCCCCTCCTCCCAGGGATGGGGTGGCCGGCATAGAACCCCACAGCTGTCAAGAGGGTGAGAAAGAGTCTAAAGCTGCCTTCCATAGAAAACAGCACTTCCTGTTTGTCCAACTGTCCATGTGCGTTCCCAGCGGGCAGTGCCCAGGGACACAGAGCCTGGTCAGTTCCCGGTGTCTGCGTGTCCAGAGGAGTGCTGGTGGAGAATGGGGCGCGTTTGCACCTTGAGGAGGTGAGCAGGCTGGTGCTGTGTGGCAGGGACCCTCCCCTCCCAGGCCACGGTGTTCGGTGGCTGCCCTTGTGATGGCCTGAGCACAGCAGTGTCACCCTGGATGTGCCCGCCTGCCTGGTCACCACCGGTCATCCCCAAGCCGAGATGCCCGCCCATGGCTGAGCTTTGCAGCACTTTTTGCAACCATACTGGCTGGAGTCAAAGGTTCCTCATTTCAACTAGATAGTTCTGGTACCATTTATCGAGTTGTTTGGGGGAGAGGTGGACACTTTAAACTTTGGGCCGTCCAGGCTCAAGTGCAGAAGGTGTAGCACAAGCTCTGATGGAAAAGGTGGGTGGAAAGGTGAGCGGTCCCCAGTAGTAGGACAGAGTGCCTGAGAAAGCACAAACCGCCCCCCAGGGTGGCTGGCATGTGTCCTCAAGGCAGGCTCTCGGAGGTTCACATACCTTCCGGGTTGAATGGGATAAAGTGGACAGAGAAGGGAAGGTGCTCGTGTGTGTATGTATGTGTGTGCAGTGTGTGTGCATGTGTGTTTGGGGTGTGTGTGTGTGTGTATGTTTGGTGTGTGTGTTCAGTGTGCATGTGTGTTTGGTGTGTGTTCAGTGTGCCTGAGAGTGCCTGCCTGGGTGCATGTTTGGCACTGACGCTTCCCACACTCGGACCGTCTCGCAGCTGCATCCCTGCCGAGCTGAGCCTGCGGGGCCTCACCTGGGATGGAGAGGTGTTGCAGGGGCACGTCCCAGAGAGAACCCGGCGCCGATATCCAGTCCACGTTTGCCTTGGTGGCGCAGGAAGGAACCGGGCAAGCTCACCTGCCAGCCCATCGGAGGTCGAGCCTGGGAGATCTGGGGGAGGAAATGGGGCTTTGCAGAATTAAATCAGGAAGTTCTGAAGACCCAGTGCTCGGGGCACGGAGGCGTGGCTCTGAGAAACGAGAAACAGCTGACTTCTCTCCAAGAGAGAGGAGGATTGGGTGGTGGAGAGGGGAGAAGAGCGCTAGAGACAGAGATACTAAGACACAGAGAGAAATGGACAGAGACATGAAGAGAGACAGACAGAAGCAGAGTGAGGGGAGAGAGAGACACAGGAGGTGAAGTGAGGGTTT